TTTCTTCCTTTTAGAGAAGATAATAAGGCCTTAAACCACTATATAATTTATTGGAGAGCACACCAGTTCTAGTTGGGTGTGTTTTAAATTATTAACTATTACCGAAGGAACCCCTTGGCCTGGGTAAGAATTTATATTATTTAATTGTTATTTCTTGATTATCAAAAATCGCTTATGGTGGGCCGATCCCATCTCTATAGGCATTTGTATATTGTTTCGTCGTGGAAGTCTTTCGGTCACTATTCTCTGTTTTTGATTATTTTTTGTTAAAATATTTTGAGGTCGATTTAAAAATAAATTAAATCAGCTGTTTCTATAGATTATGTTGGAAATTTGCCGTTATGATTTAAAATATTGCAATTTGCAGTATTTACTTTAAAGTCAGTTATATGAAATAAGTTATTGTTTTATATTACCGGTAATATTTTATTGGTTGTTAATTTTTCTTTTTTACTTTTAATTTTATTTGGAGAAACAAAAAAACTACTTACATTTAAAAATACATTTAATAAGTATTGATTTCTGAAATTCATAGAATAAATATTTTTGATTTTTGTGTGTTTTATCTAAATAAATATCAGGGTAGTAACTGTAAATTTTTCTACTAGGGTTTCTATTATCCCCTTCCTGGAGTCGTCGATTTTCTTTTGGAGTGGGTGATTAATTTGACTCAATGAATTCTCCTGGAAATTAGATTTTCCTTTCTTGGATTTTTTTTGGATTGTGATTTTGTTGCTGTACGCGTTAACCAAGGAACTCAAATAAGAAGAAGCTGCCTATTCCTGAGTGGAAGGAATCACACAAGTTTTTTTTTCTTTTTTTTTGTTATTGCTATTAGCATTATGTCTTATTTTATTTATTTATTTATTTATTTATTAGATTAGTTAAAAGCTAAGGATTATTTTCAATCTTGTTTGTGACTAAATTCGTCACTAGCTTATTAAGCTTAACTTATAGTTTACTCTTTATAAAGTTTTACTTAAATATTGGTTCACAAGTATTAGTCAGTTTATATTAAACATTGTTTGCGTCGCTTACCTGGCTTACAGTTAGGCTGGTAATTTGTAAACTGCGACTAAGGTCTCGTGATATTATAACTTTTTTTTAATTGTTCTTACTCACGCATGCGCCTGAGCTCAAGCGGTGTGTGCCATAACCTCTCATTCGTACGAAAAGTTGCTACATTACTTAGCGGCCTTAGCAACCAGTGTAATATAATTTTAAGTAGGTACATAACTAATTATATATCAAGTGTAAAATGTCTGAGGACATGTGATTTTTATTTTCTGTCTCAATCTCTAATGTTGTAAATATTTGAATACGGATTTTTAATGTTGATTTATTGAAATTGCTTATATTATTAAAACTATTTGAATTGGACTTACGAGTTTATTTTACTGAGAGTACATTGAGACTTTTGCGATATACTCTTTGGTAAATTGGGGGTATATCAAGAATATTTGGGGTTAACTTGTTTTCAATTTATCTGGCGCCCTATTAACATCAGTATATTTTTGTGGACCGCACGACCATCTCCACTAGAGTTTTAGCCGCGAGTCATCCCAGACTGTCATCGTATTGATGTACGTCTCGCTTGTAATTTTGGTTACAAATTTTTCGGTGACGACCACTACGACCACTACGACTACTAAAATATTACATAGATGTTTAAATTTTAACATCATATTCATTAACATTACTCGCATATATTTACAAATGAAGTTTTATGTACGCTGGAATACTTGAACTAGCAGTTACATAAACATCTTATGTAATTCATTTTAGTTACTTCCTGTGACAAACATTTATACGTTATTAATTTATATAACTCACAATCTGCTCACAATAATATCCCATACAGGTCAGCACAGTAATGTAAACAAGTTACACATCTTTACGATTGCTATCCTTAGTCTTTACATCGCAGACCTGGAAGACCTAACAATTCGTCCCGCGTTTATAGATGGAGATACCAATGATCGCTTGTATTATGAAGCAGTCTGTTGCCCGCTATAACAGCCGCAGGCTACTGCAGGGTGCTGCGTAACAATATGCTCCTTAATGATTAAAAATTATAAAAATAAGAAAATTATGATAAAAAAGTAATTTTTTTCGTAAAACTGTTACAACCTGTAGATCAAAAAAATAAGAGGTTTACGACATGTGTTGATATTAACTTTTCTTCATAAAATCATCAAAGAATTTACACCCTTAGTTTCTTTTGGAGATATACATACTTTTGTAACAACCGGTTAATCCTAAAGACCAATGCTCGTCACCAAATGTAACAACCAGTTAGCCTAAAGACCATTTGTAACTACTGATAGGTCTTTAGCTACTGCTGTTAATATACTATTAAGGGATAAAGGCAGCGCTTGTCACCAGCCCTAGGGTCGTGGAGTCCTGAAGGAACATCCATTCGCCAGTGACAAAATAAAATAATAAAAGAAAATAATAAAAATACAAAAAAAACATCCCTTAATAGCATATGTCGAGCGGTTTTGGCAACTGACTTAAGACTCTCAAGTCCTTAAGGGTAGGAACGCCGAGGCTTAACATGCTCGGAATATTTCTTACTGGTTTTTGGAAAGAGGTGAGAATAAAATAGATTAATAAACAATAACATGTATATTTATATATAAGAAAAAAAATTATTAACAATTTTAATAAATCAAAACAATCTTTATTTTTGAAATAAGATAAGCAAAAATTACTACCCATAATTAAAAATCTTTATTATGATAAACCATGTTATTATAATATAATATAGGATAAAACTTTAATATAATGGAAGCTTTTACATCACAAAACTTTTTAATGTAATAAAAAACCTCTTTATATGATAAAACCCTTAAATCTGATAAATATTTAATAAGTAAACTTGGGACGCAAATGAAAGAATTGGCATTTGAAGAAAGACTAATGAACTGTTTTAAAATACATAACCCAAACAAGAGATTTAACCATGTTATAATAAAATAGATATTACCTTTGAAACTAAAACACTACACACACACTTTACTATATATAATAAATACTAATAATTAACAAGTTACATTTTTGGGCATAGGTTTGGCCCAACGGCCGCCCCTTGAGTCCTCTTTGTCAATGATTGACTCTCTATTTATATCAACCTTAACGTGATTATATTAAAAGAAACTCGACTTATTTATTTTTAATGATTATTCGCACGATTTGTCCTTTAATTTTCTAGTACAATGAACTATTTCTAATTGTTTGGTTTTAATAAATATGTTGTGTTAATTTAATAGATTAAAAATATTAGATATTTTTGGGATTTTTGTTAAATTCTTTATATTTTAAAAATAATAATGCCAATTATTACACTTTTTATGTGCAATATTCTTTTGTTTATATATTGTATGTATGTAGGTATGTCCATGATACAAAAAATTGCAGAGGTATGATACATAGCCAAAGAAATCTCGTCGAGTGAGCGCATGACGTATTGTAGTGTAGAATATGGTTATATGCCACATACTTTGATTTTCTTGCTGATTAAAATTCGTAAAAGCCACAACTTTCATCATATGACGTCACCGTGATATGTAGTATCAATCTGCGTAATATCATACTATGAAGACTATATATAAGGAGACAAATCGGCATACTCAAAATACGGTCCTAAAAAACGTATGCTAATTGAGCTTCTATAATTAACCGCATGGGCGCTGGTACTGCATACGTTTTTCAAAATACATGGCTTCTTATGGAAATTATACATTATTTTGTCAAAATAATAAAAATAAACTTATTTACAGCTAAATAAAGCACAGAACATACTGTTATATTTATTTCTAAATAGTCTTGCATGTTTTAATTGATAAATTATTTAATTTTATCTATATAAAATACAAATTAGGTATGTATGACCAAATTCGAAAAGGTTTCTTAATTGCTGAAATTTGATAATTACAATTTTGTGGCAATTTTTTTTTGAATTGAACCAATATATGTATAGTTTTAAGAGTAAAATAAAACACAGTTAACAGATTTTTTATTGTTGTAATACAAGTATAAAGGGAGATTTGGGATTGTACATGGTATTACCTCATCCTTTAATTTCAGCATTCCTCTTCTTATTTTGCTAACAGTACCATCAGTAAAAATAGTCTTATAATATTTGATATCTTCTAAAAAGTACAGAACAGCATCATCTCTAGAAAGTGCTTTATTGGCACTAGGAACGATATATTGCTGCCACTGTTCTAAACGTTCAGTATCCTATAAAAAACATTTACAATGACACAATTGGGGTTCAAAAAAAAAATAACAGTAGAAACTCTTTATCTTACATTAAAACTCTATAAAAAATAAAATTTCTATTCTAGTAAGTTAAATTTAATGCATAATTATTTTTGTTTATGCGTCAGCATCTATAACTGTAGAATTTTATATTATAGAAACTTATAATAAAATAAACTACACTTCGTAAGATACATACTAGTTTACAATAAATATTATATTTAGACATGAAAACATTATTTTACTTACATTAAGAGCTTTAAAAAGACATTGAATTGATTTCTTCTTGTGTTTTCTTTAGTTTTACATTTGATTTTTATCCTGTTTTACAATCTGAAACGACGTAAATTTTGCTTTGTTTTTTGTCACTCATGTTACTTGTACTCAGGTACTTTTTTTCACATTATTTTGATTCTTTTCATTCATTTTTTAAAAAATCACTTTATTTTACATTGACTTACATAGAAAATTGACTGCGCTGTCATTAGACTTGCCAACTTCAGTCAATTTCGCGAACTTTATAAAAAGAAGGACGGAATTTTGAAATTTGACCATTGCCGATTCGCCTCCTTCTCTCTAGTCTTCATAGTTACAACTTATTAAATAAGCTTGCTGTGCTGATAAAGTAGTCTTTGATGAAAGATAGTATAGATGTCCTTGTGTGCATGTTTATGATCCTAAATTTTGCATTGTTTAATAATGGTTTACAATAATTATTATTTTTATTATTTCAGAAAGAATTGCCGATCTATTTCTTTCCAAATATGGGGACGTGGTAGCTGAATTTAAAAAATTTTTACAAATGCAAGATATGTATGTGACTTCTGGTAATCAAAAATTAAAAAATCAAGAAGAATTATCTCAAATATTGTTTGATAGAAAAAATGATTTACACGGTAGCACGAGTAAATTATTCAAACAACTTGAAGATTTACGTAAAGATTTAAATTTTTCTGTTGAAGGTATTAATGTAACTAACAGTGAATCTCAAATAATTGTAAGTATAAAGTATTTTTATACATTTTTCATTAATAAAATTGATATTAAAATAATTAGGATCAAAATAAACGTAAATGGTAAAATCAGAGGAAGTGGGACCAAAAATTATTTGATCATCATCTTTATGATCATCGGTAGCCATATCAAAACCTAAAAAGTAAATTAGGTACTTTCATTCTTTTTTTATATTTTACTGTCTACCGCTTATATTTATATTGTTCAAATTTACTATTAGGATTGTTGATTTTTTTTTATTTTTTATTCTTTAATGTTACTACTGTTTAAAAATTAATAATGGTTTAAATATATATTTATCCTATGGTATCATTTTGTATTTTTGATTTGTTTTTATTAAATATAAAAATGGATGAATTTATTCGTGATTATAATAATGAAGCAATAGATACTTTTGAAGTTTGCGACTTAGCCAGGTATGAAAATATTATTTCACAAGTTAGAATTGAAAATTCAAATGATTTTTTAAAAGTTTTTCATATAAACATTAGTAGCATTAGTAAAAATATCGATGAAGTTTTGATCTTCTTAGCTAGCCTTTCAAATGAATTTGATGTAATTGTTTTCACCGAAACACATCAAATATTTGACTTAAACATTTTTCATTTAAACGGTTATAATATTCTATATAATGAGGGTAAAAATAATAAAAATGATGGTACAGTAGTTTATTTAAATGAAAAATTCGATTATATTTGTAAAATAAAGAAAATTGATGATACAAATGCACTAAAAATTAACATAAAATATTTCAACAAAAACATCATATTAACAGCACTTTACCGATCACCAAATTCAAATGCAAATAATTTTAATCTCGGATTACTTGATTATTTTAGAAACTTGGAAGATCATGACGTAGGTATATTTATTGGTGATGTTAATTTAAATATAATATCATTGTCACCAAGTATACAAATAGAAGAATATTTGAATATCTTAAATACATATGGCTATATTTCCCAAATAAATAAATATACCCGTCCAGCCTCCAAAACATGCATCGATCACTGTTTCTTTAGAGGTAAATGTGAAACACTAGTACCAATAGTATTTAGACAAAAAATAACCGATCACTCACCAATCATAATTATGGCAAAACTGGGATCTGAAATAAATGAATTAGATAAAAATAACTTTCTTTTTAAAAATTATACTGATTTTTGGAGTTTAAATTATGACTTGGAAAATGAGAATTGGTATGACATATTAAATAATAGAAATGCTAATGATATTACTGTCAAATTTATTAATAAAATTAAATATTATATAAGCAAACATACAAAAACTGTAAAATATAAAAATATTATAAAGAAGAGGAAGGAATGGATGACATTAGGTCTATCAAAATCTATTAAAAATAAAAATAAACTATATACTTTACATTTAAAATATCCTCAAAATCCTGAATTAGAACAACAATATAAAAATACTACTAAAAACTTGTGGAATGCAGTTAATATTCTATGCAACAAGAGAACATCTAAAACAATGATTAAAACTATTAAATTAGAAAATGGCGAAATAATTAATGATGTAATGGAAATTACAGAACAATTTAATCAATACTATAGTAGCTTGGGTGAGCAATATGCTAAAAAAATAAAAAAACCAAAAGATTTCACAGAACGAATACAAATCATTGAAAATACAATGTACTTGCACTCAACAAGCGAATACGAAGTAGGGAAAATTATAGATAATTTAAAATGTAATAAATCACCGGGTCAAGATCAAATTAGAAGTGAAATTTTAAAACAAATTAAAGTAAATATTGTTTCTCCTCTTACACATTTAATTAATGTAGTTCTAGAATCAGGGTCCTTTCCAGATGTCCTTAAAATTGGCGTACTTAAACCACTTTATAAAGGAGGCGAAAAAGACCAAATGATTAATTACAGACCAATATCTCTAATTTCTAATATATCAAAGATTATTGAAAAAATACTTAAAAATAGAATAGTTTCATTTTTAGAAAAATTTAAAGTGCTCTCTATGAGACAGTATGGTTTTAGATGTGGCAAATCAACAGAAGACGCAATAAGTGATCTGACAAACTGTATCTACGACGCTTTGGATGAAAAAAAAGCCTACACTTTGTATTTTTATAGATTTAGCTAAGGCATTTGACACAGTTTGTCATAAAACACTACAAAAATTAGAATCATATGGTCTACGAGGAAAAATCTATGATTTATTAAAATCATATCTAACTAACAGATTTCAATGTGTTCAATTAGTTAATACTGTAAGTTCCCTAAAATCCATTAACTATGGTATACCTCAAGGTACTGTACTTGGTCCTTTACTCTTTTCTCTATACATAAATAGCCTTTTAGAACTTGAATTAAAAGGTAAAGTGATCAGTTTTGCTGACGATACTGCTATCGTCTATAGTGATAATTCATAGAGTAAGCTTAAAGAACAAGCAGAAATGGAATTTAAAACAATAACTAAATGGTTTCAATTAAATACATTAACAGTTAATTATAAAAAAACTAAATTTATTACTTTCACGTCTTACAATAATAACCTACCAAACTTCGGAACCTTAAATGTTGAAAACATAACCATTCCACAAGTTGAAAATATAAAATATTTAAGCATTATCATTGATCAGCATTTCAAATGGGATCTACAAATAAAAATGTTGTAAACAAAATTAGAGGTTTATTATCTAGATTTAAATATTTAAGAGACATTTTAGACAAAAAACACTTGCGCACTCTTTATTTCTCTTTAGTTCAATCTCAACTGAGTTATGGTATACTAGGGTGGGGTGGCGTTTATAATATTTATCTAAAAAATCTAAATATAATACAAAAATGGATATTAAAGATAATCCACAACAAATCGAGAAATTATCCAAGCGATATTTTATTTTCAGAACAAAAGGTATTTGACCTTAGACAACTTTATTTTTGGAAAATAGCGATAAATATACATAAGGGGAAGACTAAACTCGATAAAACCAGACATTTGCACCAAACTAGAAATAAATCAAATAAATATTACTTACCCCGAAAAAACAAATTAATAGGTTGTAGATCTTCATATTTGGCTCCTCGAATTTATAATTTCATTCCTATCGAAATACAAAAAGAGAAAAGTCTTTATTCTTTTAAAAAGAATCTTAAAAAATGGATTTTATGTCAATCCAGGTCAAATATTGAGAACATAATAAATCAAAAATAAATTCATCCAAACAACATAAAAGTATATTCAAAAAATTATGTGTACAACAAAATAATACTTACATACCGAGTCAAATTATTTATTATATACTCTTATATATATTTTACTTACATACTGGTCTAAAGTAGTGTATCAATTTACACTATCAATTTAAATTTATATACCGATTTAGACATATACATATATTTATAGATTTAGACATGCATACCGATTTAGACATATATACTGTTTTAGACATATATACCGATTTAGACATGTATACCGATTTAGACATTTATTTATACCGATTTAGATATTTATTTATACCGATTTAGACATTTATTTATACCGATGTATTTATATTTACGTAATTAATTACCATTATTATATCGTGCCACGCACAAGTAGAATTTTTAAAATTCTCCTTCTGTGGCTCTGTCTTTTGTTTGTTAGAAAATTATTATTGAGTCTTAGTTGTAAATTTCTGTATTTTTTTTGGCTAATAAACACATTATTATTATTATTATTATTATTATGCTGGGATTAAACTGTCAGACCTGTTTCGCTTGTAGTGATAGTATATAAATAGTAAATAGCGTTCGCATATATACAGAATGGGAAGGCTAACTGGAACAAATTCTGTAACTTAATAAATAAAAAGCTTAATCGCAAGATTCTTCAAATACGTCCATTTTTATTTTCAAAGGGGCTTATTACCTAATTTTTTTTAAATGGAAGTGTAGGTTGATTAATTTTTAATTGAAAGCTTTCTCAATTACAAATACAATTACATTTTTTTGTTACTTTTAATAAACTAAAATAAAGAAATATTTACTGAAACTGTTTAATGCAATTAATTTTCAAAGTGCCTTCCACCTTATTGTTAACAATATCCTAACCGATTATAAAAAACATTCCGAGCATTTTGTTACACTTCCGGCGTTACTTTTATTTCGTTTCTGATTCTTTGTTGAAACTCGGCGATGTCGTTAGTCATAAACCTTGCTTTTTTAGATATTCACATAAAAAATCTAATGGGGTTAGATGAGGTGATCTTGCTGGCCATTTCTCCCAAGTCACCTATTTGGAAACACTTCACTGAGATAGGTCGGTACAATTTAAGAAAAATGTGGTGTCCCGTATTGTTGGTCAAATAAGTTATGCATCAAATTATTAGAAAATAAATTCACTAAAGTAGAAATCAGTTCTTTTAATTTACGCATTGAAATGCAAACAAGTACTAACACATGATATGGAGATACTTCCGTACTTAGCAATGACGTACTAATTAATTTATATAATACTTAGACACTATTATAATTCACAATTCTAATTTATTTATTACAATTTGTCTTTACTGTCCAACACTTAAATTCAACTTTTTTTGTCCGTCGACAACTAGCGCTATTTATATAAAGCCATCTCTGTAGCAAAACACTCTAGGCGACCTAGAATATTCGAAAACTCTCTCTATGAATCATACGTCGCAAAGCGATCACTCCGACAGCTTCGAGAAGCTGTATGTATGCATCGATATGGCTGCGCTAGAATTCTTCTCGCAGTACGGCAATAAACAAAGCACAGAATTAACTTTGTGCGACATTGCCCCCTCCTTAAGAAATTGTTCCTCCTGGAACTAAAACTAAATGGTTGAATCTGCAACTGGATCCTCTTTTACAGTTGCATGAAAGTAAGAAATGACGGTTTTTATTATAATAATAAAAATAATAATAATATTACTCTCCCTAATTCACCCCCTTACGAGTGAATTTCAACCCCTGAAGTCGACTGAACGACTTGTGTAGGGGAAGGGACGGCTATTATTATTATTTTCCGTAGCGCTCCTGGGCGACTTAAGGATGATTGATGGTGCCATTTGACTTACAGGTGAGGAAAACCCGGAAAACCTCACCCACCATCATCGAGACGATAATGTATGGCGATTTTATAATCTGCATGTCATATCAACAGAAATTGAATTTCCATTAATACGGCACACATCAAATCCTAAACCGAACCATGCAATTTAATTAAAAATCCACATGGTCTGGTCTGGGATTCGAAGCCCAGCAGTCTCGGACTCATAAACTCGCCTATAAATGAATATAGGCGCGATAGACCGCTACACCATCGAAACCTGGACCTTAGGCGAATAGCTACAGATCAGTATTTGGACGTCCGAATCTTGGAAGTTTACTTCCAGCATCAGGATCTTACTTATACGGTAAATGACATCATCTATTTTTTTCTTAATGAGGTACGGACCTGCCCAAGACCTTTGAAGCTTCAGAGAATAGCCCTTTTGCCTTTTTGGGTTATGGAGCCAGACTTTATCACCTTCCTTGAAACATCCTTCTGTTGCTTGGGTATCGTATCGCTTCTTTTTTCTGTCGCTGACGATTTGACGATGCGAGCGAACTAACTCATGCATTTCGTCCATCTTTCGTCGTAGTTGGATCACATATTCTTTACCAGCTATGTCTTCTCCAGTTCGGCATCCAAACTCGAAGTCACACGGTAATCTCATCTTACGCCCGAACAGCACCATTGCTAGTGTTTGGCCTGTAGGTTCATTGACAGCGGATCTATATGCCATTGCCAAGAACTAAAGATACTCATCCCAATCTCGCTGATGGTTGGAAACTAGTTTTGACAGGTATTGTTCTTCTCTAAGTTTGGAAGGATCCTACTCGTTGACTACAGTTATAATTAGTAGTCCACTTTCTTTGGATTCTGCTCTGTTGCAGTGAGAGCACTTTGCTAGACACGGTCGGCATTCCTGTGGCTTATTCCGCCTCTATGTTCGATCTTAAAGTCGTACTCTCGAAGACGTTCAATCCTTCTGGTGATTTGACGCTCCGGGATTTTGAACTTCATCAAACACTTAGGATGATCGGTACGAATTAGGAATTTTTTTCCATAGAGGTATTGGTAGAAGTGTTTCACGCATTTTACAACTGCCAGGAGTTCTCTTCTCATGACGCAGTAATTTTGCTCAAGTTTTGAGAGTACTTTACTCTGTCTTTCCCCCCTTGAATCTGTGAAAGCACTCCTCCAAATCCTACATTATTAGCGTCAGTATCCAGAATAAATTCTTCCTCTGGTAGTGGGTAGCCTAGTATTGGCGCTTTTGTTACATGCTTCTTTAATGTTTCAAATGCAGTTTGGCAGTATTCGTACTAGCAGAAATATCTCGCTTCTTCTGTGAGTCGTGTTAATGGCTTAGTAATATCTACGAATTTCCTTATGAACCTTCGGTAGTACGTACAAAGTCTAAGAAAACTTCTTATTTGATGTTTATCAGGTTGGTTGTGGCCATTGTTTGATGGAAGCGACTTTCTCCTTATCTACAGCCACGTAATTCTTGGTGACTATATGACTCAGGTAATTGAATAAGTTTGAATTAGCTGGCATTTCTTGGGGTTTACCATCAATTGGGCAGCTTGAAGTCTTTTAAAAACATCTTCCTAAGTTCTTTAGATGTTCATTAAAGGTCTTCCCCAAGACTATGATGTCGTCTAAATACACCCGACATATTTTCCAGGATTACCCTCTTAATACGTTTTCCATAAGTTTTTCAAATGTCGCGGAGGCATTATATAATCCAAATGGCATAACATTAAAATTGTCACAATCTAGATCCGTTAATATAAGTTGTCTTTTCTTTATCTACTTGGTCCATTTCCACCTGCCAGTATCCAGACTTTAAGTTTATGGTAGAGAATAGTTTACTTCCGGCCAATGTGTCCAAGGTATCATCGATTCGAGGCAGAGGGCAACTGTCCTTTTTGGTAATATTGTTCAACTGACAATAATGCACTCAGAACCTCGTAGTTCCATCCTTTTTCTGAACCAGGACTACCAGAAAGACCCATGGGCTACTGGTAGAAGGTTATATCACCCTGTCTTCCTTCATTTCCTAAACAATCCTTTCAGCTTCCTCTCTCTTGGCCTTTGGTAATCTTCGAGCTGATTGATGAATCGGCCAGGCATCACCGGCGTCAATTTTGTATTTTACAACAGAAGTTGTTCCTGTTTTTCATATTTTTTGGTACAAAAATGTCACGATATCATCGAAAAAATTATTTTATTTTCTTTTTCTCTAATTGATTCAGAGATTGACCAGCAATTGCAATCATTTGCTCGAATTTGTAGTTGGAATTATCAGAAGTTGTTGTCTGACGAATTATGGATGTTACTGGTACACAAGTTCCGATTCTGGTGTCTTTCTTGATGGTAATTGGGTCATCATTTACGTTTATAGGATGAACTAGGATCTCTTTAGCAGTCGCGATCAACCCCTTTCTGATCAGAATTCCATTCATTACAGGTGTTTCTTCTTCCATAGTTTCTTGAAGCCGTGTTACTACAATGGTTTCACTTCTGCCAGGTACCACCGTACCCTCCTGTACAGCAACTGGCACGGTACTGTCTCCATATGGATGTAGGAATACCGGCGGCGTGTTGTCTTTATTTGTTGGGACCCTAGGGTGTTTGCACGAACTGCGTACATGGCCCAGTTCACCGCAATTCCAGCACCTGATAGCCTTCTTCTTTATCTTTTTGTTAGTAAAGGTCTTCATTATATTAACTAGTTGGTCGAGTTTATTTTCCACGTTTTCTTCTTTTACAGTCATCACGTTACTGTATTCTCCAGAAACATGAATAGCTGCCTCATATTCTACAGCAGCGGACAAGACATGTCTGAAGGATATCTTAAGCGTCTCCTCAAGGGGCGATGGTTAAATTTGCTGCCTTCACTTGTTCATACCATTAGTTTGCTCTGGTAGCTGTTTTGAACTGTTTAAGGTAGTTGATCCATGACATCTTTCCGTCGAAAGAAGAAATCTTATCTTCCATAGAAGAAATTTCGTTTTTCATAAAATACAAGTCGGAAAAAAATTTATCTTTTAAAGAAGAGATATCAGAAGAGACTTTATCCTCCAAGGAAGAAACTTTATTGTCTAAGGAAGAAATGTCAGAAGAAACTTTACTTTCTAAGAAGGAAATATAATTTTTTATAGAGGAAACATCTGAAGAATCTTTAGTTTCTAATGAAGAAATATAGGTTTTCATAGTTGGCATTTGACTTTTAAACGAAGAAATTATAGAAGACGCCTCATCCGAAAATAGAAATGTTTCCGGATCCAAACCTTCGCTTTCCATTGCTTCTTTAAGCCGCTCAGTCAGATCTACTTTCTTTCCTGTCGTCTCCAGATCACGATCTTCTAATTCAGCCACTTTTAAATCACACCGTTTTTTAGCCATTTTTGTCCACTATTTATTTACAGTTCTACTTCTAACACCAATGTAACGTTTGTTTAATTTATTTAAAGTTTATTTATTTAAAACGTTATTTACAATTTATTTATAACGTACTTATTAATTTATATAATACTTAGACAACTATTATAACTCACAATTCTTATTTATTTATTACAATATTAAATTCAATCTTTTGTCCGTCGACAACTCGCGCTATTTATACAAAGCCAGCTCTGTACCAGAACACTCTAGGCGACCTAGAATATTCGAAAACTTCCTCTCTATGACTCGTACGCCGCAAAGCGATCACTCCAGCAGCTTCGAGAAGCAGTTACGTTTGTCTCGATATGGCCAGCGCTAGACTTCCTGTCGCGGTACGGTAATAGAAAAAGCACAGGGTTGGTTTGCGCGACAATAATTTTCAAAGAAAGTTGTTGCCCACGATATTTTCTTAAAAGATTGAAAGAAAATTAATTTTTTGTAAATCCTAAGTCGATCATTCCATTAAAAGATCTTTAGATTATTTTATTTAATCGTTTAATCGAATCAAATATAAAAATTATCTTTGAAATAATCGATTAATCTAAAATAATCCAATAATCTAAAATAATCAAATAATCGAAAATAATCGAAAATAATCGGAAATAATCGAAAATATTCGAAAATAATCGAATAATCTAAAATAATCGATTAATCGAAAATAATCGATTAATCGAAAATAATCGATTACTAGAAAATAATCGATTATTAAAAAATAATCGATTTGTCGAAAATAATCGGACAATCGAAAATATTCGGTTGGTAGAAAATAATCGGTTAATTGAAAATAATCCATTAATTGATTATAGATTATTCAAAAATAAATTAATCGACTAATCGATTATTTTGCCCACCCCTGGTAAGAACATCCTGTAGGTTTCCCTTGATACGTCTGAAACAGTTTAGACTAATTTGTAACACATTTTTTTTGATATAACGATTGCAAATTTTAAAATTATCACCCCATAGGTATCTCTAACTATACAAATTACTTTTTAGGATAACTCTATTTTAAATAAAATAAAGAATATGGATTATCAACTAACAGTAATGAACACACTGTATGACCACTATAATGAAACAAATTTATATGAAAGAATAATGAACATTCCTCATAGCGTTTCTGAAGACATTTATTTTTTAGAAAATTTATTGAATGAGGTAAGTATCCAAAAACTAAAAACGTAATAAATATATTTTTATTAAAGAACCTTCTGAATATTTAAAACTTTTACGATTGATTCTGTTCCTTTTTAAGTCAATCATTTCATTGTTTTGATGATTTTTATTCATTATATCGACATCATTCTTTCAGTGTCTGCAGTTAGAATCTTACAAATATGATTTTGTATTCTGATTTTAGTTATTTTCAAATACCAAATCAAGGTTTTTAGATAAAAAACTTAATGAATTAATGAATATAAAGAATAAAATAAAAACACAAAATCTGGTCCACATTCAAGAAAATGGATATTTCTTTATTAATTAATTGATTGTCCAGAAACTCTTCTGCAAAAAAGAATAATGAATGATTTAATGTTATTATGAGCAAAATCTGATAAAAAAAACACTAATCTCTACTGTTCATCGTTTTCCTTCGTTAGGAGAGTTTTTGAACACCCAGTATATTTTATATTTCCTTAAATGTAATACTTATTCCTTCAGCGAGTTTTCCGTTTTGAGAAAATACAGGATACATAGTATGAATATTGCCTTAGAATAGTTGACTTTTATTTATTGTTCTAAAGATTTGTAAAACATTTATTTTTAGGATAAGAATTCTAGTTGTGTGAATAATTTAGAAGAAGAACTGTACAAATTGTTCAAAGAGATGTCAACACTGTTAAACTTTGATGGAATTGTTCAAGATATTAGAAATTTAACACAAGCTGCTAACGATAAAGAGTACGTATAACCAATATTTTGCCATTACAGTTGTACGTACCTAATTGAATCATATTAGATTTTTATAATTTGAAAGGACCCCACACTGTTTATATTGATTTTGCGTACTGTCAGAATTTATTCAATTTTAAGCATAACATTTTTTTTAAGACTGACCAGAAAATATACACTTTCTGAACAATTTTTCGTTCAGATCAAGACCGGAAAGTAGACCTTAGGGACCGGTAATAGTAATTTACGTTACAAGACCGAAAAGTAGTGTTTTGCAGATCGAGACAAGCAGATTCCAAAGCAAGCCGTAGGCGAGACCTGGAAGCTTGGAGAGACCTGCTTAACACTAATTTTCGGTCGAGTGTCGTACAATATTTTTTTAAGACCGACACTTCGATGTAAACTCAATTATTTATTTTATTTAATAAAGAGATTAACAAATACTAAAACTAGATAATGGATACAACTGCATAAACTAACCAAATACATTATTTTTGAATATTTATGTTAAATGTACATTTTTGCTGCTTCTACAACAAATCCTTACTCACACCTTTATGTCACCGACGGTAGAGCTGCTGTGCTGTATATAACCTAAACTCTTTGTCAAAAGAAAAAAATAGGTTACAAAGTTGAATATTATTGTTGAACTTTTTAAATTGTTTATTTTACCTTTTACATTTTTTTTTTTCTACTCTTCTTATAGCATTATGTGAAGAGCATTATAGGTTTACTTTGTCTGTCTGTCCGATGTCACGTTTTTTGTCTGCACAATAAGTCAAAAATGAGAAATGATATGAACTTGAAAATTTTAAGCAAAAATCAAGCTCTATAAGGGAACAAATATGATTAAAAATAGGGGGTTAAGATGGGTTGAAATTAAAAAAAAATCCTAAATTAAAAACGAAAAGCATTATCAGTATGAAATTTTTAGTAAAAATGAAGCTTTATAAGAAGATAAAGCCTATTTATGCTGAAAAAAATATGAATATATTGGGGAGTTAAGGGGAGTTAAAATATAAAAAAAGTTCTAACTGAAAAACTTGAAATTTTTAGCAAACATCAATCTCTAAAAGGAGAAGAAGCCCTTTCATTATAAAAAAAAATCTGATTAAATATGGGGGATTTAAGGGGGGTTGAAATTAAAAAAAAAAATCAAAAATGAAAAGCGATATCAACATGAAATTTTTAGTAACAATCAAAGTCTATAAGGAGATGAGGCCTATTGATTGTGAAAACAGTCTGCTTAAAAATAGGGGTTAAGGGGGTCTGTTAAACTGCGAAGAATATCATTTAAAATGCCAGGCATTATATATCTTTATTCTAGTTTGTGTCTGTGTAATATTATGTATTGTGATGGGACTGATTTTATAAAATAAACAATTAAAACATTTTAGTTCTTATTTTATTTGCCAATAAAAGGTATTTAAAAAATATATTTTTTATTTGACATCCGTGACAAATTGTGAAAATGATTAAACTTACAATAAAAACTAAAAAATGGTAGGTAAAGTTTCATATAATTTTTTTTTACACAAAAATCAATGTCAAGCTTTCTACGTAACCTGATATATATTTAAAAATAATCTCAAATTATGAAGAAAAGTCAGTTTACTAACTACTAATGTTTATAGATGGTTTTCAACGTATTAAAAACAAAACAAATATCACACTAAAATATTCATTTATTAATAGTTGTAGTGCTTGAAAACAGTATGATGTTGATAATAATAACTTCACTTAATACAAACTCAAATAATAAAAAAAACAGCAATATTGACTCTTGTACAAAGTTTTGATCCGAACTTACATATGATAAAATATTGGAAAAAGTGAACACCCATTTTAAATTACCACGAGCCGCCACTGATAATACATACGCATGGAAATTGGGCAAAGGTGCTCGAGAGGTAGGGCTAGAAAACCGAACAGGAACGTTTTCCCTAGCAGATCTAGCAGACTAGTTCCAATAGGTATAATTTCTCATATTTTCACATTTTGTAAACATTGTTATTATTCAAATTTTGAAATCACCTATTTCACCTGATGCAATTGTTTCACATAAACATGCATTAACACATTCTTGCAAATTATTTTAAAATTAGTTATTTTGTGTTAATAAACTAATTTTTTTTTATTTGTAAAATTTCGTTAGTGGGTCGTAGAAAAAATATACTGTACAATTCGAGTGAATTGTCCACATCGTATCCACTCTTGTTGCACAAACTACTATTACCGGTCCCTAATGTCTACTTTCCGGTCTTGATCGGCAAAACGTTACTTTCTGAACGAAAAATTGATCAGAAAGTGTATACTTTCTAGTCGGTCTTAAAAAAATTACTATTTCAGGTCACTAAAAGGCAACTTTCTTATGGACCCCAATTTTGCAGCTCTACCGGGAGTTGTTAGAATGAGTCAAAAGTGTTCAAAAATTGGGAATGTGACTAAAATAAGGGCATTTACATGTAGCTGGAACATATCTGCTGATCACTTATTTGTTATATTAAATAAAATATAATATTTATTATTAATACAGGGTATGATAGAAATCATAAATAATATTTAATACAAAAATATAACAGTAGATTTTTAGACATTCCATTAAAATATAAATCAATATAAAAGAAACTGAATCTTTTAAAAACATACATTAATCGTTTATAAACCAATAAGCTTTACCCGCCATTAATACCTGACTCATCTTTCAGCAGCAATTGAAATAGTCCTCAATAAAGCCCTTGAAGGGTACTTTATGTTATTTTTACTTTCCTATCTGTATACAAATAAGGAAAGTATAGGAATCATGATTTTTTTCGACCTCGACTTTTTGACGCATTTTGAAGTCCCCTGAATCCGTTCTGACTATTTTCGCGATGATATCTGTGTGCGCGAGTGTGTGAGTGCGTATGGACGTGCGTGCGTGCGTGCTGGCGTGCGTGCTGGCGTGCGTGCTGGCGCGCGTGCGCGCTCGTGTGTGTGTGTTTGTGTGTTTGTGTGTGTGTGTGTGTGTGTGTGTGTGTGTGTGTGTGTGTGTGTGTGTGTGTGTGTGTGTGTGGGCGCGCGCGCGCGCGTAGAAAATGTATATATTTAGTTTTTCCTCGTAAAGATTTACAGGAGTACTACAATAGGTTGTACAAAATAACCGGAAAAAGTCTGTAATAACTAGAAAGGAAAGTCATGTCTTGGACACATCAGATTTTTTAGTGTTGCATAGGCTAACAGAGCGTTTCTTAAGAGCGATATCCATGCAACACCTAACAGCAAATTCAGATTTAGAACACACTGACAACTTTCAGTGCATCTGAACCCACTTTGGCAACGTTGCTCTATTCCCAGGCTTACGCTCCCTTCAATTTATTACTTATAAACTATAGATGATTTAAAATATTAAAAATGCCGATAAATCGCAGGTCCGGTCTAACAAAGAGTATTTCTGTTTTGTTTTCTCGTTTAAAATATTTTTTAAAGGTATAACCTGGTGTAACATTTTCGAAAAATTTTTTTTATAACTAATTTATTTATTTACGAAATATATTTTTAAATATACATATGTATTTCTACATTTTCTTATATACAGGGTGTTTGTTGGTAAGTGTGAATGATTTTAGGGAATGTTTGCCGAAGTTATTTTATAAAAAAAACATAGATCGAAAAAGTCAGTGGCGCAGTACTTTTTTATTAAAAAAGTGGCATTCTCGCACAAACGCCACTGGTACAAGTAGAAATATTTGGAACACCCCAAAAAATACACATTTGCCCCTTCAAAGTTTTTTTGCAAATTTAGAGTAAATATCTTTAAAACCATTAAAAATAATTAATAAAATTTAATAAATTAAAATTTAAACATTCTGTATCTCGGAAACGAAGCATATTTCGACCTACTTTTATAGGAACTTCTTTTAACAAAATAACTTTGATAACAATTTGCAAAAATCATTCGTACTTATTTACAAATATCCTGTATAAAAATACGTTTTTTAAATAATAACCCATTTGATACTAGTTTGTGCAACAACAGTGGACAATCCACTGGAGTTGTACAGTATGTTTTTTTCTACGACCCACTAACGAAAATCTACAAATTTAAAGTATTATTTTAGGAAAAGACAAAATAATTAATTTTAAAATAATTTATGACTTTACTAATTTGTGAAATAAAATAAACATGAAAAAATATTTCATTTAATTAGTCCCCAGCCCAGATTTGAACTCGGGCCTCTCGCGTGAAAGACAGATGCCGTATCATCATTTTCACCTCCACATTTAAAATTTTAGTTCTAAAAGTAGTAATTAAATTAGTTTCATGTAGGTAGTTTAATTCAAATTTAGGATTTTTTAAATTGTGGTCTAAATTAAAATTATTTTTGAATCCTACGCAAAAATAACTCATTTTAATGTATATTTAATCTCAATTCCTAAAAAATATACTGACAATTAGTTTGACAGAATTGTCACTTATTTAAAATTTTAAAAATAATAGTTGCTGGGTGTCCAATATATAAACTGTGATTGGTGGATTTCATTTTTTTGCAGTGTTCTCACTACCCAGAATGGATATGAAATATATTCGTTGAGTTGAACGCAATAGTATATTTTTTCGTTTTGTAGTCTGTGCGTGAATAGTAGTTTGTGCAACAAAATTGGATATGATGGCCATATCGCACGAAGACGAAGTTTCAGAACGACGCCGTAGACGGAGTGCTTAATCGTCTGAGTGCGATACAGACAATCCACTCGAGTTGTACAGTATATTTTTTCTACGACACCCTAACGAAATTCTACAAATTTAAAAAAGTAATTTATTAAGTCAAAATAAATAATTTTAAAATAATGTATGACTTTTAATAATTTATAAAATAAAATAAACATACAAAAAGATTTAATTTAATTAGTCCCCAGCCATGATTGGAACTCGGGTCTCTCGCTTGGAGACAAACTCCGTGCCGTCGCCACACTTGCCATTATAGTTCTAATACTTGTAATTAAATTAGTTTTATATGGTTTGATTAAAATTTAAGATTTGTTTATAAATTTGGACGAAATAAAAATAGAAATTCTATTACTTATCGATTATACATAAGAAATATTCATTTTTACGTATATTTAATCTCAATAATTCAAAAATATACTGACAGTTAGTTTGACTACATTAAATTTAAAAAATAATAGTAGCCGGGTGACCAATATATAATCTGATTGGTGGATTTAACTGTTTTGCAGTGTTCTTACTAGGTAGAATGAATATGAAATATATTCGTTCAGTTGAACGCAATGGAATACTTTTTTGTTTTGTAGTATGTGCGTAGATTAGCTAATATTCATGTGGGTATAGAAAAAAGCATATCCATGTGGATGTAGAAAATAGTAGTTTGTGTAACATGAGTGAATATAAATTTAATTGATTTCATATAGTTTAATTAAAATTTATAATTATTTATTTCTAAATATAAATCAAATAAAACTAGAAATGCTATTATTTATCGATTCTACACAAGTATAACTCATTTTACGCAATAGCATATTTTTTCGTTTTGTAGTCTGTACTAGTACTAAAAATATTTAAAAATAACATTGAGTAAAATTATTTATTATTAGTAAAAGAAGGAATAAAAATAATCATTTTTATTGACTATTGGTCGGATTTCTACTCGGAATTCTACTCAAATTTCTAATATCTAAACCTCTAGTGAAACGTGGACCTAAGATTTCGGGTAGTATACAATCTAAATAAAATTGCTTTAGTTTGTTTTCCATATACACCAAAATCTATCATCTATTTTATTTTTTCTACTAACATACTTAAAGGTATTAAAATAAATAAAAAAAAAAATATTTCGTTTAGTTACGTTAAGTTGCCCCTGAACAATTATTGCATTTTCGCATTATCATTAATAATTGCAAATTTTATTATGTTGTCAACCATTGCTTTTTTCGGAGTCAGTTTTGAAGCAGTGGCAGGATATTTAATTTCGATAATACTGTCTGTTCCTAATAAACCGTCGGAACCTAAAAACCATATTCAGAATCCACAAATAAACCACATTCGCTTTAAATTTGTAAATATTGCTTTAAAGCTAAAGGTTTTTTTTTTTATTCAATACTTAGTATATTAATTTCCCATATATTTTAACTTTAATGCTTAGAAGGGGTGCTAATGTTTGTCTTTTTCTAAGTAATCTAGCACGATATTTTATAGATTTCCGTCGAAACGGAAATATAATTTTCGGCATTTCCGAAAGTTTTCCCATTTTTATCACAAATTATTATAACTCAGCTTACACATAAAAGTTCATATAAACACATTGACTAAATACGAAACAAAAACACCTACACTTGAACTAAAAAGAATAAAGTTTTTTATTATTTTATTTTTATCCCAATTTTCCGGTACTGCATGCACCGCCAACGTCCGCCGCCTTGTTGCCAAATCAATTAATATGGATTGGAATCTTGACAGATTTTCTCAGATTTCCTAATTCAAGGTTTTCAAAAAATATACGCTTTGGACAAAAAAGTGTATTGGAAAGAATTAGCTGATTTTTATATAACAATTCCCGGTAAAGACTCCTTTTTGCAATAATTTTCATAATTTGTATAGAAATAATTAAAAAATTAGTTTTTCTGAATTCGGGCTCTACAGCGGAGTTCTCTATCATTTGCTTAGTAGGTATACCAAATTTTATAAAAAAATATTTAAAACTGAGAAAGAGAACCTTGAAGTCGTTTTAAGCCTGTTTCTAACCATGGATATCGCTCTTAATAATGCTAGCGGATATGCGCGGAGCTCCTAATTTAAGAAATCTGCAAGATTCATGACTATTAAAATTACACATTGGAAATCTGTTCATATGATACTAACAAATGCGATAATTTAGAAAAAGGCAGTTATTTTGAATTTAATTTTAAGATACTTTCCCATGGTCCAATATTGGATTTGTTTCAAAAAGCAATATTGGCTTTTTGGATGTAGTTGACGATCTGTTTTATAGACTTTGCTATTTCTCCTATTCTAAACGTTTCAATACACTCAGTGTCCTTTAATGTAAAAATAATTGATTTTAACTGTTACAATATGAAAATTTTAATTGATATTAAAACTGAATTTTAATTGTGTTCAATATGTCGATTGATTTGTGTGTATAAATGAAAGAAATATCAAATATGAACAACAATAGCTTATACATAGTGAATTGTAAGCTGCATATCTACAATATAAGATATTGGTAAAATTAAAAAAAAAAAAAACACTCAGGAAGGGTGTAAAACTCATTATCTATTTGGTTTTTGGATACGTACCGACGTTTCATTGTAAACGTTAATTATTAACTTTTACAGTGAAACGCCCTTTATAATATTTAATTTTTTTTAGTGAACAAGAAAAAGCAATCCTCCGAATTATTATTGATATAACAAAAAAAGAAACAGAAGCAGAGGAAATATCGGATCTTTTAGACACCTTGGACGGTATTTTAAAGGAATTAAGACTAATTTTAAATGATCTAAATATAAAAAAATTTTCTGAGATAGAACTACTTATTGAAAAAACAGAGAAAGAAATTGAAGAATATTCAAATGAAATTGTTTGTTACACAAAATATTTTGAGAATTGTCACATTAAAAGTGCTTCGGATTCATTTATAGAACCAGAATGTATGAAAATGTATAAATAAATGTTTTAGTAATACAAATTCAAATGAAACATTAAAAATACTATCAGTATAGGTACCTTAAATTATTTTATTATGCTTTCCTGGGAATTTGTTTTTTTACACTTTGAGAATATATTTAGATTAATAGATTTTAGCGAGACACCAGAAACTTTTTAAAGTAGTAGCTGAATTAGTTGCCCATGGTGTACCTATTTATTTAGAGTATATTATAGTAAATGATCTTTAAATAAAATGTCCAAAAAAGATGTAGTATGATTTTGTTCAGACCCTTTAGTTATATCAACAAAAAATACCTAATGATCTTCATGAAGAGCCAGTAAAGGTGTTAATATTTTGGTTGGATTTCCGAATGGACTGGCATGTTGACATTAAAAATTTACGTAAAAAGCCACCTACTCTAATTTTATCGAAAAACCATAAGTCAGTGCCTCAAACCTGCTGTGAAAATGGTCTGTGACTTAGAACTTTGTATCTTGCTTTTTAGCAGCCATCTTCAATACGGACTCTTAATATAAGGTTATAGCTCTCACGTTGTGGATATTTTCAGATTTCAATAAGCTGCAGTTCGTATTCTTGCTGACGATAACCACAAAAAAAAATATTGTAAACTCTTTTTAGGGCCCTTAAAGTTATGACTGTTCTTACTATATATTGTGACGAAGTTTATTGTTATAAAATGAGAATTCCACTTATTCATAAAATAAGTTTCAAGGAATAAAAAATGTGCAAGTGAAAGATAGTATTTTATAGGATAACAAAGTCTAGAAATTTCATTTAATATATCATGGTTTAACATAACTCTTATTTTAGACTGAAACTGATATAACAGAATAATCAAACAGTTAATAGGTATTAATTGAAAATATATTATGGCAAAATAACAAATAATATAAAAATTATGTTTATATTGGCCATTAAAAAATACAATGTTATTGTTATGATTATGGGATCTTTTAACTTTGGGGATCCCATCTTGTAAATAATATAGCGGTTTGTAAAAGGGTATATATTAATATAATAAAATAGACAATTCCGTCATGACAGAAAATTATATAATGACATTTTTTTTTAAATAAATATTATTGCTTGGCAACCGAGGTCGTCAAGTAGATAGATAGGGTGCACTTAAATCCTGCCACTAAGCTGCCTTAAAAGGTAATATTGATATGTGTGGCATGTGTGTGACATGTATCAATATATTATGAGTTGGAGTTAGTATGTAGTGCTTCCAAGGCACTACAATGATGTCTTATGCTATCACATTTTTTTATTTTATTTTTAATGAGGTAAAACATCCTAATGTTTGCATATTTGTTAGATTATATAAGGGATGTTGATTAAAACTGTACAATTTGCAAATATATTTTAATTTATAAATTACTTGTAGCACTGAACATACTACACATTTTACTAAAATGAGATGGATAATTTAAAGTAATAGCTCCTTTTTATTATTTGTTCACATTAAAGACAAACGTCTAACATCCATAGAGCGTAGAGGGATATAAGTATAGGCTTTATTTTTTTGTCATTAAATGAAAATGTTTGTCCCCATTTAGGTGGGACAGTCCCGATTTTAAACCACTAGTCCCGATTTAACATGTGTCGCGCTTTTGTCTAACGAAAAACATATAAATATTTCAATTTTTATGGTGATGTGACATCCCACTCTTTTATTTATATTTGTTTGTTCTTAAATGAACCAAAATATGGTCACCTTAACTATATGTACAACAATATATTTTGTAAATCCCGATGGCGTGGGATTTAGTAAATAATTGGATCATGTTCAGTAACGTCTAGCACACTATCGTAACTCTCTGATAAGCCAAGAGCTCTATAGTCCTTCTCGATTCGTTGATTTTACCAAAAATATATTTTAAAATTCGAAGTCTTTCTATAGGATTACAATTTCCACGAAAACTTCAACATGTACCTACTAATAATTTTTCTAAGTTACGGACTTATTTTCAAACTTAAAAGTACTCATTTCTCTCAAGATTTTCATGTGAAATGTCATATGTGAACGTGAAAACAGTATTTTTAAAGCCAATGAGAATTCAAATTCTTGGGAGAATTTTAATTCTTCTCTCGAAATAAACCAAAAGAAACAGTCTGCGAGTTTTCACTGGCTTTAAAAATACTGTTTTTACGATGACGTATGACATTTCTCATGAAAATCTTGACAGAAATCACTTTCTCTCGAGTTTGAAAATAGCCCCCCAGAAATCGCTGGCCGGTCGAGTTATTGTTGTGGCCTACATCCAACGGTCTTGAGTTATTTGATGTCAGTCGGTGTTGTAAATTACGTGTTTTTAAGGCACTAATATTCTTATTCATGTCATTTACAAAAGTTTCTATACTTTCATAATTTTTTTAAAGACAAATGCTTTTTGTAATGAAACTGAAGTAAATTTATAGAATGTAAGATAACAAAGAGAATATTTATGATTATTTTAAATCTAATTTTTGCACCAACTGCAGTAAATTCTCTCATTATTAATTCATCTTTACAAAACCCCTAATATGGTTACAATACTTTCACTCAAAGCAGAATTAATATTTCAAATCGCTACACTAATTAGCAAACCTCGTAACTCCAAAATGTCAAACTTTTCAGGAACGTAAAAAAACATTGTTATATAATGGTAACAATGAAAAAAATTATAACATGAAACTAAATAATTTTTAAAATGCTCTTTTAACATTATAAAATGCTAAAATTACCTTTCTCTTATACCTTACTTTTCCTGCAGGAGTTAAGAGTTTTTCTCATAATTTATCTTGGAGATACGAGTGTTTCTTGATGGTAGAGATATAGCTGGTGTAAATAATAAACCAAAATTAATTTTTAATTATCCAAATAAACGGCCTTTTATTATAAAAGTATAAAATATGTTGTTCCAATCAAAGGCATGTTACAAAATATTGATTTATGAAAACCTAATTCTAAACAAAACTAATGATCCAAAGATTTATTTAAAGGGAATATTGTCGTAAAAATTGTGGTAGTCTTTTTCTAAAATGGACTTGAGTTCTTGCAGATCATCAAACTTCCTTCGTTTGATTGCCAACCTTTCATCGTACAGATGCGGAAAATTTTCAAGCGCCATTGTTTCAACTTTCTGATTTTTTCGCTGAGGTAAAGGCTGCCATTGGTCAAGAAAGTGTAACTTAAAGTTGATTGTTCCACCAGGAAGGTATTGGAGAGCACAGATGTCTGTCACACGTGGATCCCCGATTCCTCTGCCTGGCCTAATACTATTGAAGAATAAATAATTCTGCAAGTTCTTAAAATATGTGTGTTCTAAATACTCGACATTGTATTTAGCTGGTGTTTTCCTGGCTTCTCTGCAAACATTTGTGTAATCTGCTGGGACATTGATTTTTACATTTTTTAGCTTTCTCTCAATCATGGAGTGCATTGTGTCTGCCTCCATTTGGGTATGACCCACTTCTAGATATTTTTGTTCCACTACGATGTTATTTGTTCAGGAAAAATGCAACAAAGGCCACAGTTGAACTCCTGTTCTGGTATGAACATCCATCACTGTATAGTGCCAGTGTAGTCTTTCCTTCAGGCAAAGGGAGTTGTGACTGCAAAAACTTAGACATTATTGTGGCAAACTCATTTGAAGATAGACCACCCTCAGTTTCGTTCCAAAGAAAACAAAAACCATCATGTGTTGTTAAATTAAAGATTGTGAAATTGTGGATTGAAAGCTTCATTTTATAATACAGGGCAGACACAGTAGACTTAGGAGACTGCAACAAGGATTGTAAGTCCATTGTGAAAGTCACATAATTTGGGTTAAATTTGTCTGTCTCTTTTTCCATCCTAGCTTCGTCTTTTCTCAGCACATAAGCTTCATAATCTTCATTGCTTAAGTTTCCAGTTTTGTAGGATTCACACTTATCGCAAAAATCTTTTTTTAACTGAAACAAGGCCAAGTTCATGTCTTCGAACTTTTGGGCAAATTTACATTCAGAGAGAGATTCTACATTTTTCTGAGAACACCAGCTGCTCTTATAGAACAAGTAAAGCTCCCTTTTGGATTTCCAGCAAAGATCCAAGTACAATTTACTTGTTCTTTTTCTGCAATAATGATATTCTACTTTAGGTAGAGTTTGCAGAAAATTCTCCAATGCTTTAACTGCAGCTGATTTTCTTAGTTTCTTAATCTCGTTTCCATCGTCATCCGGTAATGCATCCCCATTCTCCCCAGTTTCTTCTTTTACATAATTTTGTTTATTTTGCCAGTGGTGAGCCATCCACTCTGTAATAGACAGCGAGTTTTGAAACATAGTTTTACATACTCTAATAATACCCCCGTCTTTTTTTAAGTAATATTGACATAAGTATTTCCTTCTACTTTTGGTATCTTCTTTCCTTCCTCTGGCTCTTGCAGTTTCAGTTTTTTTTGGTTAAAAAATTTACAAATAATCTTTTACCCTCCCAATCTAGTTGCCAAAATTCATTAAAGTTCTCTTGTCTTTCAATTTCAGTTAATAACGCACACTGTAACAAACTGTTTTCCTTTCTTTTACATTTACAACGGACTTTCATTTTCCTGGCATTTCTCTTAATGTTGTACTCATACTGTCCTGCATCATTTTTTTTTTTCTTACCTAAACTCTTTTCCAGTCTTCCTGGCTTCTTTCGATTTATTTATCTTCCACGTAGCATTATTAACTTGATGGCGTTTCTTTAGTTTTCGACTAGGTGTAACATTATTAGCAATATCAGTAATCTGAACATCAAAGTCTACAGGCCCATTTTCACTAACTTCGGTAAGGACGGGGTTTTCTTGCTCGGGAGCAGTAACATCAGCACTTTCTACTATGTCTAAGTCAGTTTTCGGTACCTCTTCTTGTTCAGAAACAGCAACATCAGGATTCACAACTAAGAATAGGCCTAAGCCTAATTGCTCGGTACTAGCAATATCAGTTTCTACTATGTCTAAGTTGGTTTTCAGTACCTCAGTAACATCAGAACACACAACTAAGCCTGTCAACTTCAAGTAGGCCTAAGTGTAATTTCTCGGTACTAGCAAAATTAGCACTTTCTACTATGCTCAAGTCAGTTTCACGCAAATCTTTTTGCTCAGGAAAAGTATTGTCAAGGTTTTTAACTAGGGTTAAATCGCTCTCAAATAATTGTTCTCTCTCAATATTAACAATCTGAGAATTGCCTACTGTTTCGATGTGAACTTCAGGTAAGTCCAGGTAAGGGTTATC